CCCCCCCTTTAAAGTCCCCCCTTTTTTCTGCCCCGCTGTGCCGTTCGTTTAACTCGCCTGCTTTCTCTTGCTGCCCTTAGAGCATGCCACTGGATGATAAACCAGATCAAGTGTCTTGGACTGAAATGGGACAGGGTACCAATGAAGGAAAGCGAAGAAGAGAGCTGGAAGCAGCTTGGTTTTCTCCAAGCCCGGCGAGGCTGCTGAGCAAAGAGCCCTGAGCTTTGCCTGAGATGCGTTTAAAGAAAAACCAAAGACTTTCGTAAAGGACTTCTAGTGAAGCGTCCACGTGTTTGGAGTGGCACAGCTTTGCGAACGATTATCTTCTATTTATGAGAGGCAAGGAAGATTCAACACTGACTGGTGGTGTTAAACACAATTTAAATTATTTGTAGTATCTATATTTGTATTTATTTTGATGAATGTCTTTCAGCAGTTACTGGTCTTAATATTGCTTTTGCATTAATATGTCCATTCCAAATAAATTACTTGAAATGTTGACTTTTTATTACTATACTCTGGGCTGCAGTAACTTTTGTTGATGCATGTTTGTGGAGCGGTCAGTGGTGTAGCGGCTTGAAAAGAGTGGGTAAGCTCAGCTTTTTGGTTCCCTGGACTGGGCAGCAGGAGGTGGAGAAAGCCCAGATAACCTGTTTGCGCTTGACCTCATCTCCTGACCAGGGAGGGAAAGTGTGTTGAGGTCCAGTTCTGGTCAGTGGTGAAAATAGGAAAGCCTACCACAGCTTGGAGAAGTGCTGCTTTTGAAGGTCTTTCCCATGTAACTGAGTAATGGTGGCTACAGAAGGCGCAAGAGTTCCCTGCGACAATAAAGCACTGCTGTCTGCTAACACCCCACGTCCTTCCCCTGGGCCCCATAGCTCTGTGCTCTGCTAAGGCAGAACACCAGATTCTTGATTTCGGAATAACACAGCGCTGACGCTCCATGGGATTCCTCCGTTTCGCAACAGAGCAAGCTGAACGCCTTGCTCTCTCCTTCCACCTCTGCAGTCTCTAGATCAAGTTAATTTTCTACAGGAGAACTGGGAAGAACAGACACAGCCTGGACCAAGAAGCCTGGAGAAAAAAGCAGCTAATTTTGGGGGGTAAAATTACTGAAGTTTCATCTTGTGGAGCTCAGTTATCACTAACTAACCTGGGCTTCCTCGACAGCAATGCTGCAGCCCAAGAGTCAGCTCCGGCAGTCAGGACTATGAGTTTAGCAGGCAAAGTACTTGCTACTAATGCTCCAGATTTGATAATTTCAGTGAGGTAATTTCCCCCTCCCAGTACCAATGCTACTCTTGCAAGAGACTTTGTGCTAGAGGAAGTTGCAAAGTATGTAATTACAAGCAGCCTGTAGTAAGAGCAAGAGAAACTTAGTACAGGGGGAAAAAAAAGAACCCTGGAAGGAGGGCTGGCACCCGTTCCTGGAAGCAGCAGGGAGACTCTGGCGCTGCAGCGTGCTACGTCAGGGCTTTGCACCCTCCTTGTACGCTGCTGGCAGCCACGCTGCTGCCCACCAGGCTTCTGTAGAGGCAAGGTTGCACAGGAGTGAGCTGTGGATGTTGCAAACGTTTGGCTGCAGCATGCGATAGCCTTTGGCCTCCATACCCGCCCAGCACAAGAATGCCAGAGGTGCGTGTAAGGCAGCAAAATGACACTCAAAAGCAGATGTGTTTTGCCCCAATTTTCCTTGGTACCATTGCGGGGGGGGGTGGTTGTGTGAAATAAAAGGCCAAACCAGAGCAGAGACACTGGCTCCTAATCCCCTCAGTGTTGGTGAATCCAAGCAGAAATGCTGACTGACAGCAGCTGGGGATGTGCAAACAGACCTGTCCCTTAGTCTCGATGCAAATGTTGATGAAAGGCAAGGTGGTGTTCAGATGGTTTTATTCCAGGTTGGTGGCATCAAAAATAAAACTCAAGAGCATCTTTACCTCTATGGAAAAAGTAAGGGGGTTACTTTCTTGCAGCTGAGTTATTTGCTTTTCATCTCGCTCAGCGGGATTTTACTCTGTAAGAGGTAAACAAATAACCCTATATTGACAATTAGCTGTAAATAGCCGAAGGAGGAGACTCCGAATTGTTTGTATAAAACTCCACCGATGGTGGGCCCCACTGTCCGGGTCAAGGGCTGCACTGAGGCACAAATCCCGAGCATGGTACCTAGGAGAGATGGCAGAGACACACAGACATCAGGGAGAGGGCAAGTCTTGGGATGGGAAAGCAGAGAAAAGCTTGTGGGAGCCCCATTGTCCCTCATGGCATTCCTCCGTAGTAGTAGCAAATCACTTCAAATAATCTCTTGCATTAATTTCTAGAGGTCCAGTTAGGGTCTGTTAAGGCTAAGGGCTCCTGGAGGCATAGCGACTAGTTTCCACCACAAGCCAGCTCAGCTCTTTACTGAGTGGTCTGGATGACTGTAATGCTGCCCAAAAGGCAAGCCAGTGCTCACTGCTGCCTTCACCAAGGTCCAGGGATACCTTTGGCCCCAGAAGATGCTTCTGAGTGTTGCACTCTCCGTAGGGCTGGTAACTACTGCGTGGGTGGAGAGGTAATTTCTAGGGCCGTGTTTTGTTCGAGACTTCCAAGCAAATCACACAGATTGTTCCACTATCATAATTACCTGAGAGGGCCCTGTTCCACCCAAGCTGCTATTGGCATTTATTCTGTAGTGTGGGACAGAGGAACAGCTCTTGAGGGCTTAGCAGGAGTGAGAGGCTTAGGTCTAACTAGATCTTTAAGAATAAATAAATAACACCACAGATAAAGACTGAACCCCCTTGAGATACTCCCCCACCTGCTTTGCAAAAAGAACGGATATTTCAATTTGGATGGAAATGCGCGCCCTTCACCTGGCTGGGCCGGTTCCGCCTCCAGCAGCTCTTCCATTTGCATCGCTAACAGGAATCCAGCGGATGGGGAAGCACCTCCAATTTGGCAAAGGCAGGTTTTTTTCCACGCGCAGATGGACGGCCAGGACGTCCCACAGGACGCAGACAGCCCCCATGCACCCGCCCCACTCTTTGCCTTGCAGTCTTTGTGTAGGACCGCTATGATGCTCAGAGGAGCAGAAAGTACTCAGCTGGCCAGAAAATCATTAGCCCCCAACACTGGGAGGAAGGGCAAGCTGGCAGCGTATGCAAGAAACTTGTGCCCTGCTCTGAAATTACATTTGCGATTCATTTTTTTAATATCAGTCTGATTTTTTTGTGCTGTTGGCATCAGTTTTCCGCCAAGACATGCACTGAGGCCATACACAAGGCCAGCAGCACCTGAGAAGGTTGAGGAGGATGCTGTCCTTCATGCAGGAAGATACAAAGCTGAGTGCGAGCTTTAACGTGGGCAGCTGTGGGGAAATGATCCCGGGCTCCACGAGAACAGAGGCGGACAGGTGTTCGCGCAACACCAGCCGGCGACTGCTGGGCTTTTATCAGCGTGCTTAAAATACTTGTGCAATGAGCCCGAGCCGAGGGCGTAGCCGTGCGGAGAGGGAAATCTCCCGGGAAGCGCTGCCGAGCGCTCCTCCCGCGCATGGGAACACAAAGGCGATGGGTGGGACCTCGCCTTGACCCTTTGCCAATGGGAACCATCCCACAACCACCAAACTTTCTGGGCAGGTTTTGCAATTATTTTTTCCCCTCTAGGTATTTGAATTAAACTAATTACTACGTACAATTGCCAAACTGGCTCTTAGGATTGAGGAGGCACTTTTTTCCCTTTCCTTTTTTTTTTTTTCTGAGCAGAAATCCATCCTCTTAAAAGACCTTGCTCTCCCTCTGCACTTCTTCAACATGTTGCTGAGAAAGATAATTTCTGTTTAATGGGCTTAAATTAGATCCCTCGTGTCAGACGCCCTCGAGCTTTGGGACAGTGTAAATCTCGGCTCTGCAGCCTGGCCCTAGCTCTGTTGCAAAGCTGCACATGTGATGGATCTCATTTAAGGTGAGAACTTTAACTGGGACAAGTCAGCGTGTCAGGAGAAAAGTTCCTGCGTGACTTTGCGCAGCTCTGCCAACACACGTGCTCACCTCCTTCGTCACGGCTAGCCCACTTTCTGAACTTTTCCTGCCCTTTATTCCTCCCTCCACAGCTTTTCCCCCCCTTTTCCCACACCTGGCATGACCTGTCCTGGCTGGGTGCCCACCCTCCCCTCCTGCCCCATCCTTCCTC